TCCCCATTCCTCACACACTTATCTTCCGGGTCAAACCCTCCCTTCCCCAGTGACCTCTCAGTATGATTACCAGTCACTTCTGTGATGCCTTGCACTACACACTGGTACTGGTTTCTCACTCTGTTGCTCTGTTGTCCATCTCTTGCCTAGGAGAATGTAAGTCCAAATCCCATGTACCAACTTCAGAGAAAGATTTTTGCTTGAGGCAGATCAAGGAAATTAGAGCTCTCAGATCCCGTCTTGTGTGACTTCGTGGATTCCCGACGCTGTGTGTGTGTGTGTGTGTGTGTGTGTGTGTGTGTGTGTAGATGCCACTCAGAAAGACTCCAGTATTGTAACATGAGACTTGGATTGCTTTTTTGATTCTCTCAGCTTGAGATATGTCGAGCATATTCTTTGCTTTAGATTTTCAAACTCCACTTCTTTGCAGATTTTGTTAAAATGCTTTGCTTTGTCTTCTTGATTGCTCATTGAAATCTTCTGTTCATCTTTTTATCTTCAGCATTTCTTTTTCTCCTGTTCTCTATATGAAAATGAATATATCTAGAACAGGTTATGAATATCCATCTTTATTTATTTATGTATGTGTATATTAAGCACTTGCCATGGAAGCACATTTGAATATGTTGCTTAATCTTTTCAGACAATTCTATGAAACAGACATCATTAACCCCATTTTTTTAGATGAGAAAATGGAGGGTGAGACAGAACTAACTTCTATGAGGTCACAAAGCTCCTAAATAGAAAAGCAGGAGTAAAACCTAGATCTGACTTAAAACCCTGTGGTTTTCCCACTATTTCTCATCTTATTAATAAGTTTCTTTTTCTAGACAAAGAAATGGGAAACCTACATAAACTTTTATGGGTCAGTCAGACTAGAGATAGCACCTATGGTTGTCTAGGAAAACTATTTTATTTCTAAAAAATAATAATTCCTTTATGTAAAGCAGTACATCCTTGTCTCTTCAAAAATGTTCTGCATATTCCTTTTCTTGCCTAAAGCTGCTGCTTTCTGGCTGTTTATTTTCAGTACAGTCATTTCTATCTTCACTTAACTCTAGAGCTTTCTGCCTGGTGTCCCAGACACTCCATGGGCTCTTTGTTATGCCTTTTTTAAATATTGTATTTGGTTCCCTCCAGAAAATTTTATGTGTCTTCCATACAATTTTTCTGTGATCTCAATGTCTTCTCAGTCATTTTCCTGCTGTCTCAGGCAGAACGGATATCTTAGCTTCTGCCATTTCCTCCCAGGCATTGTAGTCAGCCTGAGAAAATGATTATTAAATGAGACTGAAAGTAGTACTTTCTGTAGTTCATGTAATGATTGACTGTGAGATGGTGCAAATCAATCTTCCTATTTTTTGGTCACTTTACCTGTAAAACAGGCACCAGAGGCATGTCACTATCAGGGAGCCACACACTTTTGCTCACAGGCTGTTTTATCTTCTACACATTAAAATATTTAGGCCTTTGAAGGTCTGTTTCATTGATTATGATCATAAATATTTAAGATAATGGCTTGAAAAACAAATCATTCCCATCACAACTTTGCTTGTTGAAAGTGAAGACAAGACCTGAAGCGCTAGCTGCAGAAAATCAAAGACTACATCCTTCAAGATGGATGGCATTATCAATAACAGGAAAACAAAGGTCCTTACCACTGGACATGGTATATGGAGAAAGGATTGAAACTGTCAATGAGTTCATCTTACTTGGATCCACAATCAATGCCCTTGTTACCAGCAGTCAGGAGATAAGGAGGCTAATTGCTTTGGGCAAGACCACTATCAGGGATCTCTCCAAAATACTGATGAGCGGTAATGTCATTTTGAAGACTAAGGTGTGCCTAATTCAGGTCATGGTCTTTTCAATCACTTCAAGTGCATCTGAGAGCTGGACAATGAATAATAAAGATGACAGAAGAAGAATAGTACTGAATACCCCATGGACAGCCAAAAGAATAAACAGGTACTGTTTTGGAAAAGGTGCAGCCAGAGTGTCCTTTGAAGGCAAGGATGGCAAAACCTCGTCTCTCACATGTTGCTAAAAGAGGCTCTGCCTTGGAAAGGGATACCATGCTTGGAAAGGTCAGCAAAAGAGAGGAAGACCCCCAATGAGACGGGTTGGAACAGTGACTACAGCAGTAGGCTTAAGTGTATCAGAGATGATGGCAATGGCATAGAATAGGATAAGGTTCAGGCCTTTTGTTCATAGAGTCACTGTGAGTTGTACTCAACTTGACAGCACGTAACAACCACGTAAGTGTAATGCACATACAGGAATATCTTCAGAAAAGACCATTCCTAAATTAGCTATCTATCTAATTTTAAGTAAAATGAAGCACTCTTTCCTGTAAGGCTATGGTATCATCATTGTTGTTGTTTGGTGCCTTTGAGTTGGCTCTGACTCATACGACCCCATATACAACAGAACAAAGCCCTACTTGATCCTGTGCCATCTTCACAATCTCTGCTTGTGTTTAAGCCCATCATTGAACTCACTGTCAGTCCATCTCCCTGACGATCTTCCTGTCGTTTGCTGACCCTCTCCTTTTCCAAACATGTTGTCCTTCTTCATATTAATTTATTACCTGTCCTAAAAACATGCCAAAGCATAGAAGGTGAAGTCTCACCATCTTTATTTCTGAAGAGCGCCCTGGCTATACTACTTCTAAAATAGATTTCTTTGTTGTTATGTGACATCAAGTCGGAACCAACTCAAAACAGACCATCCAGCAGGTTTTCAGAGGCTGTAAATCACAGGAGAGGAGATTATACATCTTTCTCCTACAAACCTTCTTGAATTACGTGCTCAGCATACAAATTGAGTTAGTTATACTAAAAGGATACACACCTGTTTTATACCCTTCCTGTTTTGAAACTACAATATCTCTTTTGCTATTTGAACAATTGCTTATTACTTATATATGTTTTGCATGAGCACACTTAAGTGTTCTGAAATTCCCATTTTTCTTAATGCTATCCATAATTTCCTATAAAACACACAGTTTTTTAGTTATCTTATTAAAACACAAGTAAGTAAAACACAAGTAAACATCTTTCTGTTATTTTCTGCTGATGTCATCAATGATACCCTAGCATATCAATGAGTCATAGCAATCCTATAGGACAGAATCACCTACTTATTGCTGTTGATTAGGGAGTGACTCATAGCTGAACTTTATTGTGTTTCCGAGGCTATGAATCACACAGGAGAAGACTGTCTCTTGGATCAGCTTTTGGTTTAGAAGCACTGGAGTGAGGTGGCCTTCGGGTTAGTAGCACATCTCCATACAGAGTAGGCCATCAGAGCTCCCTATCCTGCCGTAGAGGGTTTCTAAGGCAGAAATACATGTGGAAGCCGACTGCCACATCTTTCTCCCATAGAGCCACTGGTATGTTCAAACCTTTTGTTTAGCAGCCAAGTGCTTAATTACTGAACCACCAAGAATCCTTAAAGATTCCCAGAAAATCTTCAAAAACAACTTCTGAGCTGTTGTACAATAGTGCTAGCCCAGTCTAGTATCAAGTCATTTGTTATACAACTTGGGTTGGGAAATAGAGATACTGGTTTGATGTGCCAGGATGAATGTCATGGAATGGGGTCCGGTGAGCCACTGGAACCTAGTCAAACCATTCACTTACCTCCCTTAGCCAAGTAAGTATCACACTTGATGTTTCAGTGCCCCCTGGGGGCCATTAAGATATCACACAGGAGTTACTGCATTAAATAGATGATGCCGATTTAGGAATATTCATTCCTAAAGGTAGTTAGGGGAAAGGTAGAACCTAAAAGAATAAGTAAAAAAAATCTAAAATATTCTGAAAGGAATTAAAAGATCCACGATGGATACCTGTTGGCATAGTGCATTACATGTTGGGCAGCTAACAAAAAGGTTAGAAGTTTGAATCCACCATGCTGTGCTCCACAGTAGAAAGTTGAAGTAGTCACCTCCATTTAAGATTTATAGTTGGGCATTCTCCTCCTGTGTGATTAACTGCCTCTGAAAACCTGCTGGAGGGTCAGCTATGGATCAGTTAGTTCCGATTCGATGGTACTCAACAACAGCCTTGGAAAACAGATGAAAGGTCCCAGTGAGTTAGAACCAACTTGAAGTCAATGGGTTTTGGTCTTGGTTTTAGTACACAATGTTCTTATTAGCCTAATATTTTGCAAGATTTGTACATTGCTGGGAAATAATTATATTCCAGAAATACATTGACTGCTAACCTCCAGGTAAGTAATATGAGAAATGGAGATTGCATCTTTGAGATTCAAACCCACTTCCATCAAGTCTATTCTAACTTGGTGGCCCTATAAAACAGAGCAGAGCTGCCATATAGGATCTGTAATCTTTAAACAGGCAGCTACTTATTTTTCTCATAGAGCAGCTGATGAATTCAAACCACTAACTTTTTGGTTAGCAATCAAGCAGCCAATCACTGTACCACCAGGGCTCATACTTTGGATAGGAATTAGGAAATAAAGTTAACAATTGTTTTTCTTACTAAAGTGCTACACAAGCTGACATCCTAACTTATGACAAGTCTCTACCCTAATGACTCTGGAGTACATTGGTTCTCACCTAAGTCTAATACCTCTCCTTTATTCCGTTTTCATTATTACTGCCTTTTATTGTCAGTATATTTAGAAATCCAGTTATTACCTGTGGTAATTGGAAACATTAATTTGAGAATGATAACATCAGCAAATTAGACATAACAATTATGTGTGTAGAACATATTACTAAAGATAATGATATGCACACACATGAAAGATATGGTCAGTTATAATTTGAATACATCATAAGTTGGATAATGCTGTATATGTAAGTGGACCATTTTCTCTATTTGTGCTTATTTATCTACTTGTGTCATGATTGTTAGTGTTTGTCACAATGTGCATTTCACTTGTTCTGAGTGATAGTATATATTTTTAAGAGCTTGTTTGCTGAAATACCTTGAGACACTAATAACACACATTCTCTTGTCCATTTTCAGTCCTAGCTTATGAACCAGAAAATCCTGAAGCCAAGGAGTTCTTCTCACTTATTGAAGAAATGTTGCTGATAGGTAAAATTAAAAGTTGAAATTCCTTCTTAATAGAACTATGAACAGCCACTATTAAAAACCTCATTATTCTGAGAGATTGTCAAAGTGCACCTTGTTAATTTGGTTAAGAAATGGTTGTCTTGGATGGCTTAATGAAAACTGGCTCATCCTCTATGGACGTATGAGGGCTCTTTTCTCTCTGTGGAGTCAACTGCCCAAGCTGAGCAGGCTCCCAGGCACCTGGACACACAGTTTTCAAAGGGAATGGGACATGTTAATCACCCCCATGTGTTGAGGGATTATCCCACAATTCCAAGGTAAAGCTAACAATGAACTACTTTACATCTCATTTCTTTATTGACATGAGAAATACAGTTACAATAATAAAGTGTACATATAAACACACAGCCCTAAGTTCTAAATTAGCATTACATCCACAAACATCTATACAACTATGTCAGCTAGAATATTTTTCTTCTTTGAATTACTTGTCTGGCCCTATGTACAGTTAGCAAAAGTTAAGCTCAGATTTATCATGTTCCAAAAAGTACATATTTCTTAGTGGAGAGAGGGGCAAGGAGGATTTTCATTTTTCAGAGAGGTGAGGTATTAAGAAGCATGTTTAAGTTTTGTTCCTTTCTATGGCAGAGAAAACACAGTGTCCTGAGGAAGATGGTGATGACAGTGACGACAACAGTAGCCTTGAGAGTGAAGGAGAAAGCAGCAAGGAGCCGAGTGAAGAGAGCTCCGAAGGAGGTGAAGATGGGTGAAGTACAGCCATGTTGCTGCATGTTGCTAAAGTGGCTTAAGCTTTGTACATTGCGTTAATGTACTGTGTGAAATTTTCCTTCCTATGCTCCATGGAAATGCAAAGGAGAGAGCCCTGTTTTGTGTGATTGTTCTTTATATGCCACAGAATTCCTTTCCATTTGCCCATCTCTTAGTTTGAGCTCCTGATTGTTATTTATGCCTTAGCTCCATGTGAGTTCCTCAGAGAAGCAAACAGTAACACAGAACTAATTATGTGCCAAGTACTGTCCAAATTGCTCTACACATATTCCTTTAATTCGGTAATTCCATGACATGGTTGTATCATTATACCCATCCTGGAGAAGACAGTAGTTCATTTGTGCAAGTATAGGAAGTATATTTACTTTCTGTAACTACTGTAACTAATTACCACAGGCTTAATGGTTTGAAACAATACAAATGTATTATCTTACAGTGATGGATGTCAGAAGTCCAAAAATCAGACCCATAGGCCAAAGTAAAGGTGCATTCCTCCTGTAGGCTCCAAGGAAGAATCCATTTCCTTCGCTTTTCTAGATTGTAAAGCCCACGTTGCATTTCTTGGTTTATGGCCCCTCCTTTCAGTAACATCTGCCCAAATCCTCATGTTCCCATCTCTCTGCTTCCCACTTTTAAAAACACTTGTGATTATAGTGGTCCACCCAGATGCTCTAGTGTTAGCTCCTTATTTTAAGGCCAACAGATGAACAAACTTACTTCCATCTGAAACCTTTTTAATTCTCCTTTGCCAGTGTAACCAAGCATATTCACAGGTTGTACATATTAGAGTGCAGATCTCCTTTTTACAGTTCATGCATAGAGGAGGAAAAGCATTGTTCTGGATACCACAGGAAGTTGTGGCTCAATGATAGCTCGGTGTTTTGGAGTTTCGGGTGTGAGACCTGCAAAAGACACTTGGCTGGAGGAATAATTATTAAAAGTTAATCAGATCAGTCATCACAGGGACTAAATGGCCCACAGATAGAGTGCAGTCATGAACATTTAGTGGTAATCCAAGAAAATGAAGTGCATGCAGGAGACTGAGTAGAGCCAGGAGGGAAGTCAGGAAAGAGAACATGGTGAATACGTTCAGTCCTTGGGTTATGAATGAGATACATTCCTGAGCATATCTATAAGTCAAATATGTAGGTACTTTGAAAGAGGTGCATATATATGGTTCTTAATTAACCTTTCTTTAGTGCAAGAAAAGACTTGAAGCCTTTTCAATGAGTAAGAACTTGCATATGGACTGGTGGCTGTAGTTAAAACCAGGAGTCTTTCATAAAACAGGGACTTCTGCCTTTGACACAGAACATACAACACGGAAAGGTTGGGATGTGGCTCCCACACTAGAAAATAGAAAACTCACAAGATGGCAATTTGTGTCTTAGACAAGGACTTTACAATGTGCTAAAACCCCAGAAATGTTTCTGTGCTTGACACACAGATAATTTATGAAGAAATCAGGATGCTCTGAGGTTGGGAAAGCTGCATATGTGTCACTTGTCCCTTCAGCTGGACAAGAGCAGATCAGGAAAAATCATGGTGAGCTTGGATAGTTGGGGAACTTACTTCAGAGGGGAAACCAGCCAGTGCCCTGGTGATCTCTGGAGGGTGTCCTAAACAACCTAAAAAATAAAAGTCAAGATTATAAAAGCAACAACAAACAAAGCTGCATATTAAGCCCATGAAGAGATGGTTGTAATGAAGACTTTGTTGTTGAAAGTGAGGGCAAGTTTATATAACATGAAAAGGCAAGTACTAATTGTCCATAAGTCAACATTTGTGACCCTCAGGCTGCTTATCCTGGTGGTGGCCTAGTCAGCATCCATTTCTATTTGCTTCTTTGCTGAGAGCACCCTGGTTCTGTTCACCCACTCATGCACTCATGGCCATGGGACCCAGGAGAGTTGATTTCACATTCAAGTCAGCACATGACACTTCCCTAGCAGCTATTTTATTTTAGAGATGAAAATGTTACCTACATTGGCCCCATTAGGCCAAAACTTTATTTCCTGATTGTGAGAGGAGAGAGAGAGAGAGTCCTCTGCTCCTCAGGGTGAAAACCAGGAAGAATGCTGTCTTCATATTGTATAATCATGAGGGAAACTGATCACAGGATAAAACAGACGCTATGTGTGGTAAAGAAGCCAAATCCTTGATGATGTTCAGCCACTCCAACAACTGCTCAAAGAGCCAGCCCTCTAAGCTTTCTGTTACCAGAGATAAATGTTTTCATTGTTAAACCAGTTTAGAGCAAGGTCCCTCTTACTGCTCCCAAAAGTATCTTAACCAATATTGAGTACCATCAAAAGAAACTTAGATGTGAGAGTATTTCAGGAAACTTGAAAAGATCTGCTCAGTCAAAAAATTGCAGAGAGCCCTTGCTCCCTGGTCCAAGATGGCAGACGAAGCCACCCGGTGGGTTGTGTCAGAGATCCCTGTTCTGAAGACTAACGCTGGACCCCGAGATCGCGAGTTATGGGTGCAGCGACTAAGGAGGAATACCAATCCCTTATACGGTATGTGGAGAACAAGAAGAATGCGGACAATGATTGGGTCCGACTGGAGTCCAACAAAGAAGGGACTCAGTGGTTTGGAAAATGCTGGTACATCCATGACCTCCTCAAATACGAGTTTGACATCGAGTTTGATATTCCTGTCACATATCCCACTACTGCTCCAGAAATTGCAGTCCCTGATCTGGATGGAAAGGAGGCAGCAAAGATGTACAGGGGTGGGAAAATATGCCTGACTGATCACTTCAAGCCTTTATGGGCTAGGAATGTGCCAAAGTTTGGACTAGCTCATCTCATGGCTCTTGGGCTAGGTCCATGGCTGGCAGTAGAAATCCCAGATCTGATTCAGAAAGGTGTGATCCAACACAAAGAGAAATGCAATCAATGAAGAATCAAATCACTGAGGAAGAACAGAGGGACCTTTGATAAATAAGGTTTCTTACTCATCTGTTTCCCCTTCCCCCCTTCCATTCCTACTTGGAATTGCAGCAGGCAATGCTGAGGGAAACCAAAATGGTATTGCTACTGAGTTTCTAAGTTAGGCTGCAGAAGAGAATGAAAAAGACTTGGACCTTTGAGAACCAAGAGGCAATTATAAGCCTCTCCCCAGGTGGAGCTATGTAAGATCCTGGGATAACTGCAAGTGAGGATATAGCTTTTTTGGTTTCTGGAGATAACCATTAATAAAAGCTGTTTTCTCTGAAAGAAAAAAAAAAGTTGCAGAGAGCACAGGTAAAATTAAAAAGTGTAAGAGTGGCAGAATGAGTTGTCAGACTTCTTAGTCTAACTGCATAATAGGGAAACCCCAACCAGATCAAACCTATGGCTGCTGAGTTGATTCTAACTCATGGTGACCCTCTCTTGGTCTCTGAGGCTGTGAATCTTTATAGGAGGAGACTGCCCATCCTTCTCTTGTGGAGTGACTGATAGATTCAGACCACTGACTTACTGGATAGCAGCCCAACATTCATTGTTGTTGTGATGTCAGTCTGGAGACTAAGGTGCGCCTGATTGCAGCCATAGTCTTTACAATTATTTGCTATGCATCAGAAAGCTGCACAGTGACTAGGGATGATAGAAGGAGAATTTCTCTCTTTGAGCTGTGGTGCTGGAGAAGAGTATAGACTGCTAGAAGAACAAACAGGTTTATCCTGGAGAGGATGAAACCAGGCTGTTCCTTGGGAGCAAAGATTCTGAAGCTTTGTCTGACATACTTTGGGCATGTTGCAAGGAGTGACCAGCCAGTCCTTGGAGAGAGACATCATACTTGGGAAGGTGAAGGGACAGTACAAGAGAGGAAGACCCTCTACGAGATGGATTGATTCAGTGACTGCAGTAATGAGGGTAGGTGTGTCAGAGACGGTAAGGTTGGCCCAGGATACAGCAGGGTTCACAGATATTGTACATAGGGTTGCTATGAGTCACAAGCAACTCAACAGCACATAACAACAACCACCTGACATTCAACATATTACTCTTTAAAAGAGGGGAAGAGAGTCATTATTTGCATCAACAGCTCAAATCTGATTCTTGTCAGGTATAAGTCAGACATACCTGCTCTCTCTAGCCATTTTACCAATTGTGACACCAATCGTTCTTCTCATGGCACTCACTACTTCTCTGCTGGGTTCAGTAATTGGTTGCAATGGTCACGCAACTGATATGCAATACTTCCAGTTATGAGCTTTACTAGGGAAATAGTGGCTTCAGTTCAGGATAAGAAATCACTAAAGATAGAGTTCTTTTGTCGCTGTCCATTTGCCAGCAGTGAACAATGACACCCTGACGAGGGTAAGCACGATGGAGACACACCACTCCAGGAGTCGATCCAGCTCAATTTTATTGGGGGCTGCAGTGCACTGCTATATGAGCAAGTAAACATGAAGGCAGGATAGGGTGGGCTTGCAGACATGGGACATGCAGATTGGATAGGAGAACCTCAGCCTTGTGTGGACCATGCCCAGCTTTCTCAAGCCAATACAGCCAAACACAGGAGAGCTTTTGCTATCCCATATTAAAGGCTGTTGGGAAGCTTGCACTTATCCGAAGCTAGGCAATCTATCCTGGCCAGAGGCCCTCTCTTCCTACACAACATTCTCCAACATTCTTTGACTTGGACAATCTTTTCTCAGGTAGGCCAGCATACCAGCCTCTGGCCCTGGATTTCTTGGGTCATGCCAAATGTTATACATCCCTTTAACTTTAGCTCTGGCAGTATGTGTCTATAGACACCCTACTCAAGCAGTGAGCCTCCGTGCAAAGGTGCACAGCTCACCAACAGTGGGTGACTAAGCCTCACTCGGCCAAGCGCCTAGAGTTACCCACCCTACAGCAAGCACTCCATTATCAGTCTCTTCTCCAATCATTTGATTAAACTTAGAAGATATAAAAGCCATGTAAGTGTAAGTGGTTAGCAACAAAGTAGTTGGTAGCACTGAGGAATGCAGTGTCAACTGAGTATG